CCCCAACCCCCAGTCTCCCTTGGGAGTGCAGTGCCCTGGGCTAGCAGGGCCAGGCCTCCTGGGGCCCCCTGAGATGGAGGGGGGCAGAGGGTGGGACTAGCATATGGGTAACAGCCACACACACTTACCCAGGAGTGTCAGCAATGAAAGGGAATGAATTCCTCTTTCCAGACAGTATTGAGTCTTCCAGGTAGTACTTCTGCTACTGCTGAACAGAGTAAACTGAGTGTGTGAGCCTTGGGTAAGGCCTAGGCATAGGTTCTAAACTCCTTCCCAGTTGCCTGACCCCCAGAGCCCGTCCTCTGGTGGTGGAGAAATAGAATTATAAACAAAATCTTCTCCCATCCCAGCAAGCCTCTCTGCAGAGGTAGAAGACAAAGAAAACACTTTTATCCCTGAAGGGGAATTAACCCAGAGTGAGATGCCAATGATCCGCTAAGACGCTGCAAAGACAAAAAGAAATCTCACTGCTAATCTAGCCAGCAGGTCCAACCCATTGCACATGTTTTATGAGAAGCCCCGTCTAGTCCTCATGTCAGGGGACTGTGCAGCACCTTTGGTCACATTGAGTTCATCAGAGATGCAACCTCAATTCACTCGACAACCTGTGTCTGCTATTTGACTTCATACAAAAGAAAAACAACCCTTATCTTTATGATAGGAGTTAGATTTACCACACAGAGCAAACGCTAGTTTCCCGCCCTCCCACGGAGATTAGGAGATAGTGTCCTGGCTGCTCTGATGATGGCATTTCAAAGACTGTGCTCCTAGATCCTTCAGGAACACAGTCCTGGGTTACAAAGCTGACAAAAGGCGTATTTTCCTGTCAAAACGCTTTGCATGTCCCTCAAAGGGGCAGAGGAAGGATTTACAATGACAAGTTTTCCAAAGAAAACACTCTAAGAAAAGGGAGAGAGGACACCTCTTCCCTTAACAAGAAGAATTAAGGCGCTTCACTGTCTTTTTTCTTTTAATCTTTTGCCTTAACTCTGTTTCTGAGAGCATTACCCCATGACTCCTGAGTCATACCACCAGTCCTGCTGATCCTAGCACAGGGTCTTTGGAGTGACCCTGTTTTTGCCTTATTGCTTAAAAAGTAAAAAACTCAGCTTGCTTAGTATTTGGCATAAATCTGCATGTTCCCTTTGAAGCAGAAGTGGTGAGAAACAAACCTTTTGAACAAGGAACTGAGGAAGGAAGTGGCTTTTTATTCCGCTGGGAGCTGCGGCGGGGCTACTGCCTTATTCACCAAGCTCCCCGAGAAGCAGCTTCTCACCCCTTTTATAGGCTTACAACGCTAAAGGGGAAACTGAGGTGAAGCCAGGTCTTGTCCATTTGCTGGATGTCCAACCTTACAATCTTTTGGCTTCACTGATTTGCTAATTCATATGCAGCATGAGCAGGGACTGGCAGGGTAGGGGGCTTACAGAGGCAAGACAAAGGCAATAAACTATTAGTTGGCAGAGGTGTTTCCAGAAGGGAGGAGACATGGGGGTGTGACCCAGTGCCAGGCTCCAGCCAGTAGGGATAACATTTATTTGCAACTCTTTCAAGTTTTACAGATAGCAGAGACACTGGGAACCAAAAAGGGAGTCATCTTCCCAGTTCTTTGGTGTTTTTTTTTGTTCTTCTTCACCCTCCTTCCCATCTGGAGGGGAGAGGAGGGAGGAGGCAGAGACTGGGAAACAGAAGGAGGTGAGGGGGTCTCCCCTCTCACCCTCCGCTTTGAGAATCTCACCCCCCTCTTTTTTTTAGTGAGAATTCTCACTCTTACCTTCAGCCTCACCATCGGGGTCTTCTGGTGAGACAGATTGGTAGTGGTTCATGTAACAGGCCTGTGCTGACATTTTTTCTTGAACCACAGCAGTAAAAAATCCTTTCACCATCTGAAGGAGCAAGGGCATTAAGCAGGGGAGCAATATGCATGCTCCTACTATCAGTAACACACGACAATAGTCTTGAGTCCTCCCTATAGCAGGAAACCAATTCCCAAACATTGATCCAGGGTTGAACCCATGCCAGACCTGTATGGGTACATGCACCGGTTTTGTCATGTCCCTTACAATAGTTTCAACCACCTGAGCCTGGTCATCTATTTGCAGGCAACAGTTGGTTAAGTTCAATTTTCCACATACCCCTCCTTCAGCTGCCAGTAAGTAATTTAAAGCCAGTTTATTTTGGTAGATGGCATTTCTCATTTTGGTCTCCTGCTGTGCCAGGGCAGTTAGAGCCTGGCCAGTTTTGTTGGTCAGGATTTTTAGGACAGCTTGCAATCGAATGATTTGATTAAGCACATAGATTGGAGTACGATAGCCATTCTCTGCTCATGTGGCTGGCCCTTAGTATTGTATTATTCTCTGAGGGGGCCATTCATCATCTTTCCAGTCCCCTATAACTAGGCTTTGCTTGTTTCATGAAGAATAGACAGAAAAACCTAACAACTCCCCAGTTCTTAGGGGTAACAGGAAGAAAGAGGGCTTGATAGTGCCAAGGACAAAACTGCCCATCCACTGGTCTGGCAGTTTGGTGTAGGTCCTGTGCCCACATATCCAGTACAAGCCAGAAGGTGCTACCCAGTCCTCGTGGAGTTCCAGGTGGGTCCAGGCCGCCTGTAAGGTGAGAAACTTTTGGAAAGGGTTGGTCTTGGTCCTATTTAAACTTCACCAAGTGATTGTTTTACTGGTTCCATTACATAGCTTCTGTTCCAAACAGTTCAGCTTTCCCACTGGGACTATTATACCCCTTCCTATTCTGGCCCGACAATAGTGTCCAGTGATGGAGGTTTTTAAGATTCAGAAGCTGTTACTCAGGCCCTTTTGCACATGAGTCGCATTAGGGACAGGGTCAGCAGGCACAGCTTGCATGCTTCCCATGGCTACCGGTTCCCATAGTTGTTCCTCCACACACATAACAAGAATGCACTTTTAAAGTCTTGGCCAACTTTTTAGCTAACTGAAAGAACAAGTTTCTTTCTTTTTTTCTGGGAGAGTTCTGAAACTGGTTCATTTAATATATTATAAAAAGCTTGAAACACCAGGTGGCATGATTGTTTCTGGATATCTTCCTGAATTAGAATGTTAACCATGGGGTCCAGTCCTTTTTTATTAATTCCCATTATTACAGATTTCCCTTTCCTTCAACAAGGATCCAGAGGATTGGTGATTGTCAATTTTAATGGATTACAATGGCCAGAGGCCTAGGAGAAGTTACTCCTCCCCTTTTGGAGACGAACTGGGTCATTTTTATTATTCTTCCAAGTGGCCCAGATGACACATGACCAGTAGTCACAACCACTGCTGCATGGCCATCGGTTATGACAGATGTATTTATGCTCTGCCATATAGCTTCTCTCCCAACCAAGAGAGCCACACCCCAGACCTTGCTTGTTACTATTGACAGCTGCACAAGCACAGAATTTTATGGTGACCTGCTGAGGTTTTTTTTTTTTTTTTTTTTTCCTCAACTTTAGTAATTACTTGTGTCCCCTAAAAAAGGACCAGTTCTCAGCCTTATTTCGAGTATGGTGGACATGGTAGGGTCGGATGGGTTATAACATACATCAGGTTGGTTGCTCCCCGGGCTGCACATCCTGTACTGGGTAGTATTATATAAACAAGTTCTTCTGAGGGCTCTGTTGCCTTCATAACTATAAAACAAGAGGACTGTGGCAACCTTTCGTTCTACCTTAGTAATCTTATGTATGCACTGGGAACCATCCTTGGATGGAAGGTTGACATCTACTGGAGTAGCAAAGATACAAGTCCATAGTCCAAACAGAAGGAGTACCGGTCCCACGGGGGCAGTCCTCATGCTTTGGCTGTGTGTAGACCAGTCAGCTTCCGGGGTGTGACTGGAGCAGGGCTTGATGTCTCAGTTCTCCTTAAGGTAATCTTGCATGGGTTATGGAGATAGGGCTTCACTTCCCAGGTGTCTGGTGCTGCAGGTTTCACATGGCTGTGATGGATCCACGCAGGAACTCCCTTGACCTTCACGGCTGTTGGAGTTGTTAGAATGACAGTTTGGGGTCCTTTCCACCTTGGTTGTAGGGGAGCCGAGTTCCAGTCCTTGATCCAAACTTGGTCACCTGGTGAAAACGGGAGAACTGGGGAGAATAACCTGACAGACATGGGGATGTGACCCAGTGCTGGGCTCCAGCCAGCAGGGATAACATTTATTTGCAACTCTTTCAAGGCTCACAGCAGAGACACTGGGAACCGAAAAAGAAGTCATCTTTCCAGCTCTTTGGTAATGTTTTTTCTTTTTCACCCTCCTTTCCTTCTGGAGGGGTGGGGTGGGGGGAGGAAGTGGAAACTGGGAAACAGAAGGAGGCAAGGGGGTCTCCCCTCTCACCTTCAAGAAACCCTTAGCCCTGAGGAAGTGAGGTGAGCTGTGGTTAAGGCAGCTCCCCAGGCTAGGCTCCTGCTCTCCCCCTGCCCCTCGCATAGGCTTCCCTGGTCACCCCTCACTGTCACAAAGCAAGACCTGACTATGAAAGCTTCCACATGCAGGCCAGACACATGCATCTTTGGGTTTGCACTTCCGGCATTGTCTGCGGCAAGTGCTCAGTTGCAGGCCGGCCTCCCAGGAGGCTCCAGGATCCATTCCTTTATTTAGGACTTGAAAATGAACTGGAAATGAGGACTTTTGAACTGGAAGACATTTCAGAAATGATCAAATTTAATAGTTTCCAACCCTTTGTGATCGCAGACACTTTTGAAGATCTGATGTAGAAAGTGAGCCCACAAATCTGCACACCACTGCGGGTTTAAGGAGCCCCTGTGGGGCCCACGCAGCCCTTGATGGTTAGCTGAGGGGCTGCAGCTGAGCCCTGTTTCCCGAGGCAGAGGTCTGGGCTTTTAGTGGGAAAAACAGCACCCACGTCATAGCAGGCAGCAGAAGCTCACTGGTTATGCCAAGTCTGATTAAGAAAACTCTGGTGCGCATTTTTGAGAGGCTGCATTTTAGAGGCTTTGTTTCAGGTTTTCTGTGTGGCTGATCAGTTCTGTGTTCAAGGCTGGCTGCCAGCAGTGGACTGGAATTGCTGGGGCTCCACATCAGTGCTACAGAGAGGCAGATGAACTGCAACAATAGTCTCTTCCCAGGAGTACAAAGTCTCAGTGACAGGAGCCTCTGTCCCTGACCCCAAACCATCCTGTCCTCTACTCTGTGGGCTTCTGAAAGGAACAGAAAGGACCACAGCCAAACCTGCACCTACAAAGGATCTCAGCAGAATCTGTGTGGCCTACACCTTCCTTATCCCATGAGCCATGGAGTTCAGGGTTCAGGAAAATCCGGCCAAGCGCCCTGCACCATGCTATTAGGCTGTCCTAAGGCCTGCAATCCTGAGACCACAGCCAATGGAACAGATCCCCTCTTAGTCAAGGGGACCCCAGGGAAACCTGAAAAAATGAATTCCTGGCCATGATGGAAGGAGAGGTCAGAGAAGCCTCATAAGAGCCTTGCACCTTTGGAGTGTAGGGCCCCCAAACTGACCAGCATGAATGTTAAAATAGGCATTGTTAGATTATTCAGAATGGACTCTGTGACAATCAGGTACAGATTATGAACAACACCTGAGGCCATGCAAGGCCAGAATTAACACACAACCTAGAATGCACAGATTCTCCTTCACTGGGTTTTAAATTGACCCAGGATACTGTGGCTGACTTACCTCCCTGACTCTGCGACAGCATCGCGTGGCAGAGGCAGACCCTCTCTCTGAACTAAAGCATGCCTTTGTACCAACTTCACGTCTTTAGACAAAGCTGAACTCTTTCAACCAATTGCCAGTTGGAAAATCTTTGAATCCACCTGTGACCTATAACAACCCCTGCCCCCACTTCAAGTTACCTCATCTTGTTAGGCTGAATCAATGCATACCTTCCACGGGTTGATTTATGCCGTTACTCCAATTCCTGTCCCCTCAACTGTGTAAAACAATTTCCCTGGGCACATTTTTTCAGGACCTCTTGACATCCCCAAACCACGGTCACTCATATTGGCTCAGAAGAAACCTCTTACAGATAATTTGTTAACAGCCCCAGCCGCAGGCCTTGGCACACCTCTTGCTCGGCTTGGGAATTCCCAAACTAGCTACAGGCCCCCAGCCCTCCCCTCCCAACCAGCACACACTTCATCTCACCATCAGCTCCACCTGTGCTCACCTGCGTGGGCCTCTGTCAGCTGCCAATCCGCACCTGTTTCCCACCCCTCCTGACTGCAGGGCACCCCCTCTGTGGGCAGTGCTCACTGTCGCTCGGCCCCTCAATCCCTGAGCTCCCTAGGGTTCTCCATCTCTATGGGGTGCTGGTATCCTCAGGCCAGGCCTCCTTTAGTAAAACTTGGCTCCTGCTATGAAATGTACATCTAGTTCCTAGAGAGTGTGACTGAGTCCCCATGTAAACCTTCTCTGTCACCTGGACTGCGGGGCATAGACCCCACCTTTCTGCTGGTGGTGAGCAATGAAGCAGACAGCTTCAACTGGGCTGGCAAACACCTGACATCCAATGCGGTGCCAGTCTTGGGATGAAGCTGATGCCGCGAACAGAATGACAGAAAAACCAGCAGGTCAAACCTACTTTCAGGTCACCCTGTCTGTCTTCCTGGAGCTGGCAGTTTCATAGGTCATTATATTACCTCTATTACATATGGCAATTTTAGGTGGCTTTTCAACAAGTGCAGTGTAAAAGTTCCAACTGTCAAGTTCACCCTCCTAACAAAGTTATTCTGGATGTGATGTCTCCACCATTGTCCTGTTTCCAGAGCCACAGCAGGTGTGTCCTCCTGGGCGGCAGCCTCGCTTCCAGCATCTGGTGCCTTCACACCAAACCCAGGCCCAGCACACCACAGGCCCTCGGCCACTGTTTGTTGAATGAATAAATGAATCTTTCAGGTCTGACAAGGAAAGCCCAGGCTTCTATCAAGAAAGCTACACAAACACAGAAGTCACACTAAATCCTGGGAGCAAGAGATGACTGAATGTCAACTGAGGTCACTGTGTTTTGAGGAAGCCACAGCTACTGGTGAGCATGGAGGGAGAGACAGCAAAGGAACAGAGCACAAACCTCTCCACCACCGTGTGATCAGCAGGTTTCTGACTCTGAATATTGGTCAGACTCACACTAGCAGTACTCAATGGTGCTTCGGAGCAGCTCCTTATGATTCCTAGGCCAACTCCTGCTTGACATTGAAGTGTTCTGAGAATACTCTAATGATGACCCATGGACTTACTGCCCAGACTTGATACTCGTTAGTTCCTTGGAGGTGGTGTTGGACGCCAAAGATCCAGAATCTCAGCAGCCTCCACCTGCTGGCCCTGGGTCCCTGCTGCTGGCTCCCAGCTTCTGGTTTCCGCTGAGGAAGGCTGCAGGGCAGCACCTTTAGGGGAAACCTTGACTTTTCCAATTCCGGGCTCTCACCAGTGTTTTCCTGAATGCCCCCACCAGAAACCTGGGCGTCGTCTCTGAACTGTTCCTCATCCCTGTGTGAATCATTCCAGCTCCTGACGTTTCTGCCCCCAAATGCACTCCATGTGGTTCAGGTCTCACCTTAACTTCCTCACTCTGGTAGAGCCACTGCTGTCTCATGGGCCTCTGCTAGCCCAGGTGAAGCCAGAGCTAGGCACAGCCTCAAACCGTGCAGCCCACTGGATGCAGGGTTTAGTGGGCAAGCAATGCCTTTGAGCAAATAAAAAAAGGGTGCCTTTTTATTTGGCCAGTCTCAGCTTCATGCCATGGCTCATGGCTTGGCAAGCAGAGGGAGGCCCAACTTTAGTTCCCACAAGCCCCTCTGGTCCAGCTGCTCTTGTACAGTGAGCACCTGCATCCCTGTACTGGGGGCCCTGCTTTTGCCTGGATGCTGCACGAGCTTTGAGGGGCAGCTGCTTCCATTCCTACCTCCTCAGATCCTTTGTTCACCTGCAGCCAGAGTGATGCACACACGTGCACACACACACACGCACACACACACACGTGCACACACACATGCACACAAACACACGTGTGCGTGCATGTGCACGCACGCACGCGCGCGCACACACACACACACACACACACACCCCTCCTCCTTCCTGTGCGTATCAACATCCTCTCCTTGCTCTTGGAATAGAGTCCAAACTACCTAACCTAGATGATGGGCCCTGCGTGGCTGATCATCAATAGGTTAGCTAATCTTTGGAAGGCAAGTTTCCCTTCAATAGCATGTAAGTTGGTGTGGGAAAGGGCTTTTTCTGTTAGGTTTTGCTTTTGCCTATTTGTGTACACTGCATCCTTGTAATCGGACCCCTTGGAATTTCAGCACCCCAGCATGTTTTAGTGACTGAAATAATGAACATTTTGATCAGGCCCTTGCTGGCTTGCACATGTTAACCACTTGCTTTTGGCCCAATATTCCTTGTTCCCACAATATAATGATAAACTGCTCATGTACTGTTTCTTTGCCCAGCAGGAAGACATACCTTCAGGGTCAGGAAAAGTTTGCAGAAGGAATGAATGCCTTGAAGGACACTGTGACCAGCTGCTAACACTCAGAAGCCTGATTGCTCCAGCTGTTATCCGACACTGAAGAAACAGACTTTTCCTCTCAATCTCCCTTCCTTACTCTCTAGCTGCACAAAAACGTTCTACTGCTGCTGCTTTGTTGAAGTGAATTTGAGTGGCCTTGTTCTCCTGCCTTCTCGCTTTGGTCAAACGGAATAAAACTTTCACTATCTCCAAGAACCCGTGTGTCAGTGTTTGGCATCAGCTCCACATCAGGTACAAGAGCACGCATTTCTGCTTCCCCAACATCTGCAGTGCAAAATATTTAACAATGGGCATGGCACAGCCTCTGACCAACAGCCAGAACACACACAAGCCACACAAAGGCATGCCTGTCAGCTGAATATCAACCTTGCTCCTGGCTGAAATGATCCCCAGACAGAGGAAGTGCATCGCATACAATTGTTGACTGAATCAATGAATGGGTGGAGGTGGAGGTTGGTGAGGTAAGTGCAAGGAACTGCCAACAATCGATGCTTTGTGGACCAGGGAAACCTCAGCAGGGAGAAGCCTAGCTGGAAAGGCTTGTTACCAAGCATGGGGACTTGGCCTCTGGCCAGTGGTGACTGATCACAGGATAAATGGCACAGTTGTCAGGCTTGTGGTGTCTCTGTACAGGGACCAGAGTGGATCTCAGAGAGTACCGAGTGTGCCAGGTGGAAGAGATATGCTCAGGGCCTGAACAGCCAAGAGGATCCTGGGCTGTTCCAGATCCTGAGTCTCCCCTTCCAGGTCATTCCCAATGACCACAAAAGGGAATGCACACTGGGCCTCCTGCTTTGCTACATACAGTCCAGCTCTTTGACCCTCGGGTTTATGATTATCAAACATTCAGGAGCCAATGAGGCAGCCTCATTGGGAGAGACGGCACAGGGACAGAACACAAACTTCTCCCCCTCCACGTGATCGGTAGGTTTCTGACTCTGAATATTGGTCAGCCTCACACTAGCAGGACTCACTGGTGTACTTTCTACGGGTGAGAGAGCCCTGGACAGTATTTCCTGGATGCCAGTGAGCAGCTGAGAGCTGAAGCTCCCTGGACACTCAAGGCTCTTGTGGTGACAGGTGAGGGGACATGGGTGGAAGGACAGGGCTCTGAGCCTGCACCTTCCTTGGGATCTGGAGGTTGGGCTGTTTTTTGTGCTTGGCTTTTATGCCCTCTCAGCAACCTAAATATTTGTTATCAAGGTGGAAGAAGTCTTTGCTGAAACTTGTGCATGGACACAAGATTTCTGTACTGTATGGTGCCTGGAGAAGGACCAAAGGGTTGAATATGTGGCCTGCCTGCAGCAGTTGCCCTCTCAACTGCAGCAGTTGCACCAAGAAGCTGAGAGATCCAGAAAAAGGGAACAGAGGGAAGAGTGGTAGGTAGTTCATCTATCAGGACTTTATAGAAGGTATTTTATTCAATTTTCAAAACAACTCTAGGGGCCAGGCGTGGTGGTTTACACCTGTAATTCCAGCACTTTGGGAGGCTAAGGCGAACAGATCACGAGGTCAGGAGATTGAGACCATCCTGGCTAACATGGTGAAACTGCATCTCTCCTAAAAATACAAAAAATTAGCCAGGCGTGTGGTACATGCCTGTAGTCCCAGCTACTCAGCAGGCTGAGGCAGGAGAATTGCTTGAACCCAGGAGGCAGAGGTTGCAGTAAGCTGAGATCATGCCACTGCACTCCAGCCTGGAAAGCAGAGCAAGACTCCATCTCAAAAAAAAAAAAAAAAAACCACCAAAAACTCTAGTCTTCTCCCGTGTTCTACAGATGAAGAAACAGAGGCTCAGAGAGGTTAAGTGACATGCCCAAGGTCACACAGCTAGAAAGGGACAAAACCAGATTCCAGTGCAGGTCTTTCTGACCCTACCTTCTCCCAGTGGCAGAGTCCAGCTTCCTCATGGGCAAAAGCAGAAAGACATACGTTTGAGCAGGTCTCCCCGTTCCTGCAAGACTGGAAGCCATGCAGGCATTCACCTGGTTTCCTCTCTCTTCCTCAGGCCTCCCATAAAGGTGTGCAGGGAGTCTAGCTCTCTCTTCTGGACTTTGAGATTTCAGACACAGAAGTTTGTCCATGGCTCCTTATCACATCCGCAAATACCAGGAAAGCGACCGCAAGTGGGTCATGGACTTGCTCTCTCGGGGGATGGTAGAGCACGTCCCAGCCACCTTCCGGCAATTGCTGAAGCTGCCTCGAACCCTCATAATCTTACTTGGGGGGCCCCTCGCCCTACTCCTAGTCTCTGGCTCTTGGCTCTTGGCCCTCGTGTTCAGCCTCAGCCTCTTCCCTGCCCTGTGGTTCCTTGCCAGAAAACCCTGGAACATGTTTGTAGACATGACACTGCACACAGATATGTCTGATATCACCAAATCCTACCTGAGTGAGAGTGGCTCCTGCTTCTGGGTGGCTGAGTCTGAAGAGAAGGTGGTGGGCATGGTGGGAGCTCTGCCTGTTGACGATCCCACCTTGAGGGAGAAGCGGTTGCAGCTGTTTCACCTCTCTGTGGACACTGAGCACCGTCGTCAGGGGATAGCAAAAGCCCTGGTCAGGACTGTACTCCAGTTTGCCCGGGACCAGGGCTACAGTGAAGTTGTCCTGGATACTGCCAGCATACAGCTCTCTGCCATAGCCCTCTACGAGAGCATGGGCTTCCAGAGGACGGGCCAGTTCTTCTTCTGCATTTGGGCCAGGCTACTGGCTCTTCATTCAGTTAGTTTCATCTACCGCCTCCCTACTGCTCAGGCAGGGGGTCTGTGATCTCTTTCTTTGTGTATTGGTCAGAATATAATCAATTCAGCTGTAGCAGCATGCAATCCCCAACCTTTCACTGCAATTACACAATAAAAGCTTATTGTCCATTCGCATCCGAGTCCCACGTGATTGGTTGTGGGTGGCTTCTGGGTTTCTGCTTCATTCAGTGTTTTTGAGTCCCATCTGTTTCATTTTTCTATTGCCAGGATAATGTTGCATAAAAACAACCATAAAATGAAACAAATACTTATTTAGCTCATGAGTTTGCAGGTTAGCAATTTTGGCTGAGCTTGGCTGGGCAGTTCCTCTGGTCTCAGATTGCATTGTACAAATGCGGTGGTATCAGCTGAAAAACAAGGTCAATGGTACCTTTTTGTTTTCCTGCAGGCTAGCTCAGGCACGGTTTCAAGGAAATCGCAGAGGAGGAAAACAAAAGCAGAAACAAACGAATGTGTTTTCAAACCCCTGCATGTGTCCCCTTCATGTGTTGCATCTCCCCCAAACTCAGGGGGTGACAGGAACCTGCCTCTGTAGTGAGAAGGGCTGCAAAGTCACATAGCAAAGGGTGGGATGCAGCCATGGGAGAAGAATTGGGGCCAGGGACACAATCGATCCACTCTAACCCCACGCTGTCTGCAGAGGGGAAAAAGGTGGCCTTGGCGGGGAGTGTGGGATTTACCATGGGCTTGACCTGGAAGTAGTATAACTCTTCCAGGGGGTTATGATAGAATACCTGAGACTGGGTAGTTTATAAAGAAAAGAGGTTTATTTGGCTCATGGTTTTGCAGGCTGTACAAAAAGGATAGTGCAGGCATCTGCTTCTGGTGAGGGCTTCAGGAATCCTTTACTCATGGTGGAAGCTGAAGGAGGAGGAGGTGTGTCATATGGTGAGACAGCAAGCACGAGAGATGCTAGGTGCTTTCAAACAACAAGCTTACATGTGAACCAACAGAGCCAGAACTCAGCCACCACCACCGACAGAGCCATTCATGAGGAAGCCACCCCCATGACCAAAACACCTCCCAGTAGGCCCCACCTCTAACATTGGGGTTCATATTTCAACATATGATTTGGAGGGATTAAACATCTAAACTATATCAGTCTGCCCTTGACCTCCAAATCTCATGTTGTCTCACATTGTAAAATGCAATCATCCCTTTCTAATAGTCCTCCAAAGTCTCAACTTGTTCCAGTATCAACTCAAAAGTCCAGAGTCCATAGTTTCATCCGAGCCTCAGGGCAAATTCCTTCCAACTGTGAGCCTGTTGGATCAAAAACAAGTTACATACTTCCAAGATACATTTGTGTTACAGGCATTGGGTAGACGTTCCCATTCCAAAAGGGAGAAATTGGCAAAAAAAAAAAAAAAAAAAAAAAAAAAAAAGAGGCAACAGGCCCCACATAAGTCTGAAACCCAGCAGGGCAAACATTAAATCTTAGAGTTCCAAAATAATCTTCCTTAACTCCATACTGGTGAAAGTAGTGGGCTTTCAAGGCCTGAAGCAGCCCTGTCTCTATGGCTTTGCTGGGTGCAGCCCACATGGCTGCTCTCTCACAGGTTGGAGTTGAATGCCTGTGGCTCCTCCATGCTGAGGTTGTAAGCTGCTGGTGACTCTACCTTTCTGCGGTCTGGAGGGCACTGGCCCCATTCCCACAGCTCTACTAGGCAATGCCCCAGTGGGGACTCTGTGTGGAGGTTCCAACCCCACATTTTCCCTTGGCTCTGCCCTAGCAGAGGCTCTCTGTGGGGGCTCTTCCCCTGTGGCAGGTTTCTGCCTAGGCACTCAGGCTTTTTGATATATCCTCTGAAGTCTAGGTGGAAGCTCCCAAGCCTCCTTCACTCTTGCATTCTGCAAGCCTGCAGACCTAAAATTATATGGAAGGCAGGGCATGGTGGCTCACACCTATAATTCCAACACTTTGGGAGGCTGAGGTGGATGGATCACCTGAGGTCAGGAGTTCAAGACCAGCCTAACCAACATGGTGAAACTCCATCTCTACTAAAAATACAAAATTAGTTGGGCATGGTGGTGCATGCCTGAAATCCCAGCTACCTGGGATGCTGAGGCAGGATAATAGCTTGAACCCTGGAGGTGGAGGTTACAGTGAGCCGAGATGGTGCCATTGCATTCCAGCCTGGGTGAGAGGACAAGACTCTGTCTCAAAAAAAAAATTACCACATGGAAGCTGCCAAGGCTTAGGGCTTGCACCCTCCAAAAGCAGTGGTCTGAGCTGTACCTGGGGCTGTTGGAGCCAAGGCTGGAGCTGGAGAAGCTGGGATGTGGGAAGTAGCATCCTGGGGTAGCACAAGGTAATGGTGCCCTGGGCCTGGTCTCTGAAACCATTCAGTCCTCCTAGGCCTGTGGGCCTGTGACAGGAGGGGTGTTCTGGAAGACTTCTGAAGTACCTCTGAGGCCTTTTCCCACTGTCTTGAATATTAGCACCTGGCTCCCTTTTAGACACGCTAATGTCTTTAGCAAGCAGTTGCTCAGCAGGCTGCTTGGATTCCTCCTTCTCTACCCACATGGCCATGCTGCAAGTTTTCTAAATTTCTACACCCTCTTTCCATTTTAATTATAAGTTCTGTTAAAAGGAATATGTTATACAAATTAATTTAAACAGAGTTTAATTGAGCAAGAAAAATTAATAATTTGCAAACTGGGCAGCCCTCGGAATCACAGCAGATACAGACAGACACCAGGGATGCTGTGTTGTCAAAGCAAATTATTGGACAGAAAAAGGAAAGTGACATACAGAAAATGGAAGTGAGGTACAGAAACAGCCAGATTGGTTACAGCTTGGTGTTTGCCTTATCTGAGTGTGATTCAAACAGTCGGCTGCCTGTGAATGGCTGAAGTATGGCCAATAGAATTGGCTGAGACTCAGCTATTGCTAAAGAAGCATCCTCCTAAGTCAGGTTTTCAGTCTGCCTACCTACTAGTTACATTATGGTTCACCCTTAAGGACTCAAGTATGGAAGTATGAAGGCTTCCTCAGGCCGGGTTTGAGTTTGATTTATCAATTCCCCTGTTTTTGTCACTCTTAATTTAGAGAGATTGACCAAAACTTTAGGCACTGATGCCACTCTCTCACTATCGTAAATGGTCTCAGTATGGAGTTCACAAGTCTTTATTGGTGTCACTATGGAGTTCACAAGTCACAGCTTCACACTAGGTGAATGATTCTTTATGTTCTTGCTGACCTAGTCTAAGTGAGACCATTCAATTCTCAATGTATGGCTGCATACAAAACATTTAAGACTTGAGAGGATGAAGCACACCACGGGAACTATTACTATGACTATCAAGAGAATAATATCAAAATACCAAGGTACACTCCTTAACAAAAGTTCTTAAGAAATAAACTAAACCAAATTAAACAGGTCAAAGTTCAGGCAACATAACAGTTCAACAATACTAAAGTTTAATTGGTCATAGTTCTTGTTTGAAATGTGGTAGCAATTAAGGATCATAGTTCACTATAAAGTGGCCTGATTTAAAGACGTTTCCATTTTCATTGTTACTCTGGTAACACATGCCATACTAACCTGGACACCTGCTAGAAGGCATATAAAGACTAGAAACCTTTGGGAAACCCAAGCTTGCCATCTGCAGTTTAGGACATCTACAAACCATTAGTTGTTCCTGTAAACACACCATGTTTTCCACTTAATAGACTTCTTTATTGTATTTGGTGTCAGTATCTAAGGAAACGGCAGTATCAGCTTCCTTTACATTAAGCTTTCTGTAGTAACAAAATCAGGAGAGAGATAAGTGTAGCATTCTGTTTTGTTCAACACCAAACAGGTTCCCAGCCTGAATAAAAAGATATGAAGCTCCATGATGTTAACTGTAACATCTACCTTTTTTTGTTTTTTTGCTTGAGACAGGGTCTCACTCTGTCACCCAGACTGGAGTACAGTGGCGCAATCTCAGCTCACCACAACCTCTGTCTCCCGGGTTCAGGCAATCCTCCTGCCTCAGCCTCCTAAGTAGCTGGGACTACAGGCCTGTGCCACCACGCCTGGCTAATTTTTTGTATTTAGTAGAGACGGGTTTTTACCATGTTGGCCAGGCTGCTCTCGAACTCCTGACCTCAGGTGATCCACCTGCCTTGGCCTCCCAAAGTGCTGGGATGACGGGCATGAGCCACTGCACCCCTCCACATCTACCTTTTGGAGAGTAGCTTCTACCTGTCTGAAACACTGGGAGGTCTGATTGGCTACAAAATCCAAGACCCCAAATATGGATTAGCTTTAGATTCCATACAACTAGTATCCTACTACCACCAAAACTGAGCCCCCAGGTACCCCACTGGAATCTTTCCTCAGTGGAATCTAGCTTATCTTTGTCTATTTCAAAGCTAGTGCTAATTTCAGTTATTGACTATTTTGGCCTACAATCATAAGAGCTGTTAAGATAATTTTTAGGAGAAACTATTTGAAAGGCAGAAGTGAGCCAGACCAAACAGCAAGATCTGAGCCAACGAGGAGGTCGAATGAAATATGCAGGTTATCCACAGACCCAATATATAGGCCCTTGGGAGTTGAAAAACAGGGCCACCTAGTTGCATTTGAGCAGGGTCAGTTAGATTTGTTCATTAATAAATCTCTGCACAGCTCCTGAACAAAATCCATTGGGAAATTTACCTTTTTGTGCCCCCCTTATAGCATGTTGTAAGGTGTATAACACATTTAGCCAAAAGAGACCCTGCTGAATTTAATCTGGTGACATTATACAAGCAATTACTTGTACTCACATAGGCAATTCCCATATCTTGAGTGCATGTTGCCTGAAAGCACAATATCTTTTCTGCAGTCATCACTTGGGTTGGTTTTCTATATTTGGTAATGATCATGTTATTAATTGAAATAGTTAAGGCCGGGCATGGTGGCTCACGCCTGTAATCCCAGCACTTTGAGAGACCAAGGCTGGCGAAATACTTGAGGCCAGGAGTTTGAGATCAGCTTGGCCAACATAGTGAAACCCTGTCTCTACTAAAAATTAGCTGGGTGTGATGGTACATGCCTATAATCCCAGCTACTCGGGTGGCTGAGGCAGGAGAACTGCTTGAACCTGGGAGGTGGAGGCTGCATGAGATCAGGCCACTG